GACTGCACTTTCTCGAGTGTAGGTCAAAATCTCAGATTCAGCTGGAAACTTGTAACCAGGGAAATTCGGTCTCCTGAACACGAATATCATACTCGTTTACCGCAAAAACACCTTATCAGTGGGCTATGAGCGTCGTTTTCAGTCATGGCAAATATTAATTAAATAATAGCTCTCAACCTGCGACGGGTGCTCGCTAACTCCTTACACAGGCAGGTAAAGGCAGGCAATTGAGGAAATACTGTCGCTAAAAGCCTTTCTGGTCATGTTTTCAAAAAGGCAAAACAACAAACACCACGAGAGACCGATCCCATGACCTCTCGCCTACAAGCCTGGAGCGTTACCACTTACGCCACGTCAACCACGACGTGCTCCTTCCCGCTTGGCTTATAGTGGCGACTCCAATGATAGCGCTCATATACTGCGTTTAAGTACAGTGTTGAGGGGAAAACTTCCGTAACTCCGTTCAGAGCACCGTTTAGCAGATAAGAAAAGCGGTTTCTAGCTTATCGTCTCAAGACGAATGCGTAGGTATACACCTCATTGCAAATGGCCGGACCGGCCTGGTGACCTTTCCTCGTGTAGACCTTTATCTTCAAGGTATTTCAGGAATCTATGAAATATAAACAAGCTCTCTCCATTAATGCTCACATCACGGTAGCATTTCATTTTTTCATTTTTTTTCTCGAAATTCACTTGCAGAATTATTTGGCAACTACCTTCTCGTCCTTTTGCTTACCCACTTAATTTGGCAAGTTTGGCTTGCTAACTGGAGTGTGAAGAATTTCGAGTAGCACACGAAGTGTCAGTCCCTTCTCGCAGGTAACTGTTGAGAGGCACCAGCAGCTTCTCAAAGGGTCATAGCAAACGACGCGAATGTGACGACCGACGACAGCGACTTTCTCACGATGCAGATGACCGGGACATTTAAACGCCTTTTCTTTTTTGACCTCTCTCAGCTTGGGTCTAAGTTACCTAATTCATGTCATACCTACATCATAACAACCCGTATTTTTCAAAAACTTTCGCAGGATGAACCAGAAAGTGCTGACTTCGCTAAAAAGCCCTCGACACTGAATACGGTCTTTCACCACTCCTTCCGAAAATACTGCCGATTCCACTGTATATGTTCCCACCACTCACGTCGAGAACTCATCGACGTTGGTTCGTCCTTCCTCAAAGACCCATTCGGATTGTGATTCATCGTTCGCAGAAGCGTGGCTGTGTGTACGAGCTCTGGGGAAAGATGTCTAGCATGTCAGTATGAAATATACTGTCGCGAAACACGAAACCTGCTCCAACAGAACCCTGGGCGCACCGGTGCCTGTGAGTATTAATATGACCCAGCCTGGTCTCTCAGTGATTTAGCGGCAACGCGTTAGCAACGGCACCATCACGGCCTGGCCTGGTGTTCCCTTCGTCATCGGTTTCTTCCCCGTCGTCGTCGTTCTTCGGCAGACTCGCAGGGCTCTAGCCCTTAGAACTATATTCGAGATTCGTGTATTTCAATTCTTGTAGTCGAGCGGCGGGTTAATGGAAGCGATCCGGCGTGAGTTATTTCTACTAATGTATTTCATTTTATCTTTTAGTTGATTAGTTCATTAAGTGAAATTGATACATAAATGTTATCAATTTTTCGTGTCTGCGTCGTGTAACAATATGGGTGTAAGCCCGACACTTACATTCATTACTGTTTTGAATTAGTGTTGTTTAAGTAGTTAAGTAGGATTTAGGATAGGGTGTAGGATAGTTTGCTATTACTTCACTTACGCCCAGTAGGTTGCTGCAGAGCCAGCTGGCAGGCTGTTGATGCTTACCCCTTGTTGGGTTCCTAGAGTTTCCCCCTTGGACACCGTAAGCCCCCCCCGGGACCCACCGATTCGCAACATATACCATGGTTACCATGAATTAATGTTGATGAATTATTCAAATTGAAATTTAAAATTTGAAATTGAAAATTTGAATTGAATTCCTGGTTAATGAATTATCATTAACAATTTGAAAATTTTGAAAAAAAAATTGAGAAGTGATAACATGTTCTATGCAGAAGATTTTGTCCAAGAAATTTATTATCTCATTTATATTCTATCAGGCCCTTCATGGATAGCAAAAAACTGACCTGTGAAGAACGGTATTCACATGACTCGGCACAAGGTCGAAAAAGGAGTTGTGAAGCTCATTAAGAATAGCTCCTGAAAAAATGGCACATGGATAGGAAAACGTGACCTCAGCCGTGGTAGACCTCTGAACCCTTTCGACAGTTTGCTTTTCACTTGAATGTGGGAGGGGACTGAAGGCTAGCTAGGAATAAGCTCAGCCGTAATGGGAATGCACAGTGGAAAGATCAGTTCAACTCTTGCGGCTGTCCCAAGACAGTAGTGAAGTTATACACAGGTCATGGATATCACCATTTCTGCGCAGAAGTTGAGATTCAGTTTCTTGCTTCCTAGGAGTGAAAGTGATCAGACAAAAACTCGTTTTTTTCACACTGCTCGGCCGGAAGATTTGAGATGGCTTTGCTTCTGAGCCGGCTGAGTGGAGACGATTTAATGAACAGAGCGCACCATAAATATTGGTAGCTAAAGTAGTTATGGCATAGATAAAATCGTTTGAATGACACGCAATGAATCCCTGTACGTCGCGAGATATGGTCACCATACACTGCTCATGGAGGCGCCAGTAACGCTTTGATTGCGCCACGCAACGTTATTGAGAAACTTTGGTCTAGGCTTTGTTCAGTGTTTTCAGGCATTCTGAAGTTCATGTTCAGGAAGAAGGCCTCAATTTTCAATATGGACTCCTTTGATTGACGAAACGACAAATTTGCCTACTAATAAGACGCAGGTGATGTTCATGATTTTGGCCCTCCACACCTTTTCTTCCGTACGCTGCCTTCATTTATTGATAAGCCGTACTTCTGCCAAAAAAGGGCCCATATAGTACATTGTAGTAGGTCGACGTTTCGCCTATAATAGTATCTTCTTCGTTCTCATCCTATGTAGATGTCTTGACGGATCCTGAAGCTTCTTGACAAAAATAAACGTCACTCGTCAAATAAAATAAATTCCGGATAAAGCGCATGAGAAACCATTACAGCTTCTTCATCAGTTTCATGGATCCTGTTAGCAGGCACATAGGTGTTTTCAATATTCACAGCAACACCCCCAGATCGATTTCGTGGGTGAAAAGAAGCAAGGAAAACCGCTGATGGAGCTTCAAACAAGCTCCATCAGCGGTTTTCCTTGCTCCCTCTCTTCCTCATTGAAACAAGGAGGTGGGGCCGGACGAGCTGTCCGAACTAGTTTGCTCCGCCGGCATTATTGCTGGCTCGTGCCAGCAAGAAATGCGGATGCAATCGCATATGCATAAATACAAAGAGACATGTGCATCAACACAAACAAAGGAACACGACCATTAAACGAATTGAAAGCAATCAAAGAACAGGCAGCATTCCTTCCAACGCGGCACTTTACACGCAATCGCGCAAGGATCACGCAGCCAATCACGCGATCTCCACGGCTGGCAAATGGGCGGATCAATCTTCCAAGGTAAGTTTTTTGTTTTTTTTTCCTAGTTTTTTTTCAGCGACACTTCTCATGTACTTGAGCTTCCACGAGCTGTACTTCGCGCCAAAAACGATATCTAATGATTCTGAACCGTTTCTATTGCTGCGATGCGATGTATACCTCTGCAGAGTTTCATCGTGTTCCATTTGAAAGGTTGTTCCATTGCCATAAATACTTTGCTACCAAATTGATGAATCATAGCGTGGTACATATGTTTATTGAGGAGCGTATATCGATTCTTCACAAGGGGACGAGTTTTTTTATTTCTTTGTGGTACCACTTACCGACAGCTCCAGCACTGGGATTCGTCTCGGAGTCCAATCCAATATCATGCTTTTCATCTGTGCGCTTATAGATCGAAATTAACAACACACCAGCTATAGATCCTGTGCCTGAAACAAGCGCTAAAATCGGCTCTTCTCAAGGCTCTTTTGTTCCACTAGTTCCACTACATTTTTTCCCAATGAATACTGTGGAGCCATATTCAGGAATTTCAAACTGAATAGCAAAGGAATTCATTAGCTGCAGATCTGGAGAAAAGTACTTTTGCAGGAAACTATTGTAGAGAAAGGCTCATCCAAAGAGATGTCCACAACACTCAATAGGGCCTTCGAAAGCACCTCCTCTGGCATTTTTGACGCCTGAAAATAGGTGCTGTAATCAGAGAAAGGAAGCTTCCTAATACCACTTACTCGATTTAAAGGCTCATCTTTGAGGAAATGCTCAAGCAAAAATCCCAGGATCTTTTGACTATCCTCCTTTGTGGCAATCCGGTACAGGTATTTATCGTCAACCATAGCTGCAAGAAACTGATTCCTGGAATGGCAAGGCTTTATTCGGGGTGCTTTATGCTTTATTCTCACTAGTTACGGAACAGCCTATTAGTGTTTAAGGCTTTCAAGAAAAGGGAGTAGTAGTAGAGCTGAGCCGACAGTATACTTGGAGAGACCAAAGAGACGCCTTTAAAGGCAGCGATTACGATGAGTTCAAGAAGGTTTAGAGGAGACGTGGTGGGTGCTCAATGGTGCGTCGGCGGCGAAAAAAGCGGAGAATTCCGTCAAAAAAAACGCAAAATGGAGCCCTCTCTTGCCGCGATTTCACTTCCTTGAACAGGTCGGAATCACTCAGAGTAGTGGCCAATTTGAAACGAGTGCATGAGGTTGGTAACACCATGACAAACCACACTCCAATGAGTTGCTTCAGCTGTGCCACTGCTGACAACACTGATCGTCCTACATCTACCATCGCTACATCTCGCTCCCTTGGCAGCCAAGACGCTGATTTCGCGTGCGTGGCACTATGCTTCCCGATGCGCTTCAGACTTAGCGTATCGCTTGCCTTTTTAAAAGGCTGAGAAAAATGCGCTCTACCAAAAATGTAATACCCAACTACAAACTAAGTTGCAAACATATCTTAATAACACCAACTTGCCCGGAGCATGGTAAAGAAAGATTACCGAATTGTGCACTCTTAAGCACCAATGAGTTATGTCTTGTCACTCCTTTTCGGACCTGAATTTTTCCCGTTGGAGACTTTTTTTTCAAAGAACTAAGAAGCTTTGAAAATTGGCCCACCTTCTTAGTTTTTAAGCTTATGTCGAAACAATTCGAAATTTCATAGTTATGCCGAAAAAGTTTATAATCTTGCATAACATTATAACCCATAATTTTGATTTAGGAATGGATCCACTTCAAGTATTTTAAGAAAAGGTCACACTTACTTGGCCGGTTCCGGGGGACAGCGCCCATTCATTAGTGCACTTGTACACAAATACTTGTAATACTAACAGCAAACCCACAATGAAATGGCAGGTTCAGCTCATAATTAGGATGGGGAAGGTTGACTGAAGCAACCTCTAGCAGGATTAGAGAAACCATGCTGTTTCAGCGGCAGTACAAGCGTTTGAATTTGGTGGTGGCAATTGCCACCGCCAGGGCCAAAGCCGGTGCATTTGAGAAACACACTTCCGTTTACCATCTGCCGACGGAGTTCACAGGCATAATTAGGTGGCCTTGTCTGTAACACTGCTCAGATGGAATCGACCGGGTGAATCTAGCCTTTGACCCAACGACTCAAACTACCTTCGTCAGCGCGGTGTACGCTTAACACATTGACACTATATCGTGCATGCGGGCCATTGTCGACGTGCGGGAGTATATTATCCCCGAGCCTATTTATCTATTTTTTCGAGCACGGCCTGATTCTTTTAGAAGTTCTCCAAATGCTTTCCATGGAAAAAGAATATTGACGTAGCCACAAACACAGTGGCCCATGAAATGGTCACGTATGCTTTAATTCAGAGGATTCTGTCATGACGTTTCGTCATGATGCGACGAAGAAATCAAGGAGGATCCTTGACATCCTATTGATTAAGTTACTCAAAACCTGCAATCACAGGTGCCGGCCTGGCGCACTGGTTGCCCGGTCCGCATTTCCACACCGCCATAGTCCGAACGACCGCCCCCTGCGTTCGGTTATAAATGACCACCCCGATTTTCGGGGGTTCGGTAGAATACTGCAGTAGAGACGTCCGGTTTTTCACGGGCTCCGCGGGGGTTCCTCAACTTCTCCAGTCGTCTCCAGCGGTCTCCAAACAAGCGACTCCGGTCGCACAATAAACCTAAGGCGGCAACGCCAGCAATAAACCAAATAATCAATAAGCACAAGGAATCAATAAGGTACAGCCAGTGGACCATCCACCGGCCAAGGCCACCAATCAATATCACTAACCAAGGACCACCAACTCACACCTCCAGCCACTATCGACCAATAACCTAAGGGCACAGTCAATCCTTCTATTTTATAAAGCGCTAACTTTGTGTGTCGGTTTGTATGTCTGAATGTGTGCGCGTGTATGTATGTATGTATGTATGTATGTATGTGTGTCCGTCCGCAAAATGAAGTGAGTGAGTGATAAGGCAGCTAACGGAATAAACAAGCCGCCAACAAATCTGGGTAGCTCGCAGGATTTGCGCTATCAATGTTTTGCACAAGCATGATTGTGATAACCCAGAACGGCTATATAAACACGCACTTAGCACACTTTCGGTCATTCCACAAGGTGATGCTGTGGTAGCCGGCGAGCAGAGGAGAACGAGGGGTGAGTAAGGAGAGGAGGGAGAAGGGAAAGCTTACGCAAGGTAGGGAGGTTCCGGCGCTTGCCGGGGGACCAATCTGGTACTATGAATAACCCACACTAAAAGTAGAATGAGTGCTAACCAACCATAACGCTAACTAACGTAGGAAACAAATTTGTACAAGTTGTAATATATGTCAATGATTGCTTTTGAGGAATTGTGGTATAAGAGATGTTAATAAATGTTAGTATTTACAAGTGTTGTTTCAATAAAATAATCTAATAGAAGTCGCATCATAGAGCAATCTACCACTCTACCGTCGAAACAATTTGTGAACACAAGAAAATGCTTCGAGTTTAATAAATTTTCGTTCAGTTTTTCTTTTTTGTGAATGTGAAGATCCAATTAGTAGTTGAAGTGGTTGCGGAGCCTTGGGATGACAATATGTGTGTTTTAATTGAAATGATCGACGTGAAATTGCTTTTGAGGTCCATTGCACTTAGTTCTTACAAATTTCGTTTTTTCATTGGCGTATCATGTCTTTCGACGTGCGAAATTCATTACGTGTACCCGCTCGCTAGGTTGCGGTCATTACGATTTAGTGACCTATTTTTGTATTGGTCATTATTTATGTATTTATTTATTTATTTATCACTAAAATCTGCTTGAACTACTTAAGGCGGCCGCGCTCGCAAACGCCTCGAACCGTGATGCAGAAGGTCAGCCCCGCCGAGTTGCGCAAGAGACAAACAGGGTCGGATTCGGCGACGCGAAAGGGAGGGCGTCGTATCCAGAGAGACAGGGGTTGCAGGCGGGCTGAAAAGTGCAGATGTCCTCGCTAGGTACATTTCACGCCTCTAAATATCCTGTGTAGGAAGCTCTGCCACCGGTGCAGCCGTGGGACGAGTGCACACAGACAAGGGTCATTTGGAGCAATGAGGCGCAGCAGGGGCATCACAAAGCCTCATGTTTCAGCCATTATGTTATCCTTAAGGGCAAGCTCAGCCCCACGGCGGGTAGAGAAGTGAGAAGACTGCGCCGTTGCCTGGAGTTTGGCATGGGGGAACCATGCAGACAATTGGCCAGAAATTCCCACTTGAAATGTTAAGCGGGTCCCGGCCGACGATTCGTGTTTGCTCTCGAGGCCGCGCTCGTCAATCGGACGCCCACCTCCGGAAGTGTGCGTGGCTGGCATAACGTGTGAAATCAGCTAGGTTGATTGCCGTATCAACCGATAGAACGACTGACATCTCAGAAAACTTGTTTGTACGTGCCTCTTTCCCAAGCCAGCCTCCTTCACTGTTAGTGGGAAAGAGGGTTTTGTTAACGGCCTTGTCGACGGTTTTTTTTTTCAGTTTTTTCTCCACTGTCGTTCTACTTCGTATCTCTATACACTCAGTTTCAATCGTCATAATACCCCTTAATGAGCCGACTTTGCCCTTAATACGCGGACGGCGCTTTTGCTCGACAGCATAGATCAAGATCTACAATAGCCAAAAACTTTTGTTACAACGTAGTGCAAAACATGGTCTGTCTTCGATGATCGAACATTCCTGAAATCCCAAGGAGAACAAAGTGTAGAGCAGTTCATGGGGAAGTGAAACAAAGAGTACTATATAACAGTACAATGCAACTTAATCACGATACTAAACACCTTCTTCAGGAAAATGAAGGACTTTCAAATGCGAGTGCGACTATCTGGAGGTCCACAGACAGGTGCACGGCGTATACCGAGCAGGCGTTTTCCCATAAAAACGCCTTCTCTGTCAGCGGCCGTAAGCAGACAAACTTCCTGAAGAGAATTTCGATGCTTTCAAATCAAATCTAAGCGGAACAAAGTGTAGCGAATTTGCTGAATTGAATTCTAGAGACCCGTAGGAAAATTGAGGCAGAAGAAAGAAATTTCAGGAAATTTTCACAGTTGTTATGAAGTACTCTTCGAGTGGATTCCAACAATCTTTACCGCTTCTCATCACATTAATTTTGAAGGAAGTTATGGGCCTTTGAAGACTGCATAGTCGCGGTCCAGGAAAATGGCTTGAAAAAAAATCAAGGTGGAAAAAACGGAACAACGGGACTATTTTTTGAGCGAGTGATTATTTTAAAAAGTTTTAGCACTTATTCGGAAGCTCTAATCTTCTAGTTCCTAATTAGCCTTAGACATCTGCAAAAAGTTGATTATGAAGAAAGTTATGAACGCATTGAATGTCGGAAAACTCGCGCCTTCTCAAAAATCGGACCACAAACCCCCAAAAACGGAACAACGGGACTATTTTTTGAAAAAATGATCGCTGGAAAATTTTCAGGTGCTTGTTTGAAAGCTCTAATCTTCTAGTTTCTAATTAGCCTTAGACATTTGCAAAAAGTTGATTATGAAGAAAGTTATGAATGTTTGAATGTCGAAAACTCGCGTGTGCACAAAAAACGGAACAACGGGACGATTTTTTTTAAAAAATATTGAACATCCGCAACATTTCAAATAGCTTTTAGAAAGAAAACTATCTGAGTTTTCATAATTTTGGTCCACAGTTTTATTAGATCGCTTCTGAAGAAAAATTATAACCGTTCTGAATGAGGGGGTTTGTATTGTAAGGTAATTGCTACTAAGGTTTAGTTATTCAGATTATAAAAGAAGAAAAATCGAGAGATCGAAAAAAAACTTGGTAGCTTTCTGAAAGTAGAAATCTCTGTGATTAGCAGTCATGTATTGGTTCACGCAA